ATTCTCTCTATTTTGTCACGCAGGCAGTCGCAAATCACCGTCGCAGCTAGATGACAGTAGCTCTAGGTGGGAGGTTTGACCTACTCCAGCTCGTTCTGAAATCTATTGTGCATCCTGTGAGCTTTGAATGCACTCTCTGTCTTCGATCAATGATCATCCTGCTAATTAACTTCCAGACCCCTGCGCCTCCTCTCACAGTCCCTCAATTTGACGAAGATCGCCTGTACTGTGACCCTGCGACGACTGCGGCCTTGGAATCGCTCGTGGCCACAAACAAGCGGTGCGTGGGGGGACGCCCATACTTCAGGCAACAAGGTGACATGTTACGAATGTCCCTCAAGACGCGCCAAAGCGAACGACAAAAGCCCTGCCGATGACCCATCTGTTGCCAAGACCGTGATGCGATCCATATCCTGGTAGCTGGAATCAACGTAAGCACCCGCACCAGAACGATTGGCAACTCGGGCGCAGGTCGCGTGGAACGCGAGATACGCGGCATTGGGCAGAGGGAGAGCGGGGTCCGACGACTTGAAAGTCACCGTGGGTGGTAATGGTATGGAATTGAGATCCGTGCAACAGACCTTGTATTGATTCGGGACACCCTAGAGTAAAATGTCAACCATGACAAGGGCAATACCGTATTACACGCTCACAGTGCTGTCGAACCATAGGCTCAGATCGTCGAAAAGGGTGTGTAACAGCAGATCCAACGTCATGACATTATCTAGCCGGTGGACATTGCCCCCCTTGAGTTCTCTCGGAACGAAGACGCGCACTAGGCGCATGAAAACTGTGTGGATGGAAGCTGCATGGTCGGACTTGAAGAACAGTCAGTGCGCGGTGGTGAATTGACGTGACGGGCGGACCTCGTCGCTCCTTGTCAACCCATTCCCAGTTCCAGTGCTCAACGACGGTGGAGTGATATATGCACAGTGCGTTGCGGTAGAGGGGAAGGACCGAGTAGGAGCGGCATCTGCCATGCTGCGAACTGTGGAGAAGTTTCTATATGAAATCCTATCCACTCTGCCGATGATTAGACAACAATGATTGTCGCGCTCAAGAGCCTTCTCCAATATTCGCATGAGACATCGAGCCGGAAGGTATCTAATCAGATATTTACGAGGTACTTCGCTTCAGCGTAGCTCTTTGAAGTGTTTTGCAAGCGCATCTTTATGAGTTCCTTGCTTTCTCCAGAGGGTCGCGAGGGGCGTTGGGAGACAACCGGCGTAACGCCTCCAGAGGTCTTGACTACACAGGATTTAAGGAAACGAATACGAGGCCCTGCAGACCACCTACACGGCTGTATGAAGTACGCGATGTACAATTGTCCCAACTGATGAAAGGTTTCCACTTCTTGGCAAGAATTGATGGCCCGAGCGAGGACATTGCGACCTTCATCGGGTAAATCGAAAAGGGCGAACCCAAGAACTCTCGCATGCATTTCCAGCCTCTTATCGACGGAGGAGGACCCGAGCGTCTCGTACTTCAAGCATTGGTCATAGGAGAGAGTGAAGTCCCTTCCACCTGCGAGTCGTTGACCGTCCGACCAGGGGTGCTCGTTCTTTCAGAGCTGCGATGACATATTGGAGAGATAGCGTCAGGTGAGTACGGACGGGTAATGTTGAGGGGCCTGGGTAGTCACTGGGTAGCCTGGCCAGAATTCCGACGGCGGGTGTATTTAAGAGAGCCAACCCAATGAGACGGATCAAACTTGCATACGCCTGGAAAAGGCGTAGACCTGTCCGTAGTAAGTGGTATTGACCGCGCGAATGGTAAGCAGCAATTGTCCTGCAAGGTTGAAGTTCACTGGCAAGAGAGACAAGATCACATACCTGAAGTAAGCTGAGGATCGCTTCTCCTGCTGCTTGCATGCAAGATGAGTTAGAGGAGGGGAAAGCGTTACTTCGGCGCCCACCAAAAGCGTGACACCGTGACATCTGCACACTGCCCCTGTCCTGATTTCGAACTCCGGTAATCCAACGCAGGCCTCAAACAGAGGAGAAAAAAAAACATACCCGGGGTAGGACCCCTGATAATGGGTTTGGAGCTCCGATCCCCTCAATCCCCGAAAATCGACCTTTTTGGGACCCACAATTTTCGGTATTTCGCGTTTTATGGGTCCAATTCGCTGCCGATGGTGCCCAAGTGTTGTGGGCAGCATCCTTGGCTCGAATTACGTCGAATAACGCATCGAACATACTTTTCCCACGCATAGATTGTAAGAAATCTTATCTTATCAACCCCCGAAAATGAACATTTTGGGATCGAACATCCAAATCAATTACCAGGGGTCCTCCCGAGGTAGACAAGATGCTGCGCCACGTGTGTGTGAGATCTCGACATTTGGGGTGAATTTTTCGTGGCGAAAATGTGGTAACACTGGTCAATACTAGTAGCTCTCTCAATCCGTCATAGCCGGAATAGCTCAGCTGGGAGAGCAACAGACTGAAGTTCACCGTTTGGTAAGAACATGCTCGAATTCTGGAGGTCCTGTGTTCAATCCACAGTTCTGGCATTGTTTTTGGAGGGCCTCGATGTCGAGGGATTTAGGACCGAGTTGTGTTCAATTTACAGTTCTGGCATTTTCTCCCTTCAGGAGGGTACTATTTGAGGACGAGAGGATGATGGTGTATTGCCTTCAACAAATAATATATACACAAGTCCTTCCCTCAGGTTTTAGTCATATGACTACGAGGCTGGGCCGATGAATGAGTTAAGTATATCAGTCCCCTTGTCTGGTTGGGGCGAGCGTGGGAGGATACTTAAGTTTGCATTAGTCGAAGGGATAGGGATGAACGCGTACAAGTCGAAATACGATATGAGCGTCCGACGACCCCACGGTCGCGCCAAACCCGTGGGTACAAATCTCCGTTCAATCAAGTGCCCTGCACGAAGTAGCGTGAGGCACAATATACATTTATAGTCACCCCGGCTTGTACATTAGTAATAAATTTGTGTAGTCTAGGTGCGGGGAAGATAAAAAGAGAAGGGCCTACAGCAGCCTACAGGACTGACACTGCTTGCTGCGCGCCGACTTCTGCCGCCACCATCGGTGCCATCATGGGCGTCGCAAGGAACATGCCCACCCTTGGGAGCAGGTCGACGATCCTACTCTTCTGGATCTCTGGACCCTTATCCCCAAAGTACCTCTTGCTTTCAAAGCTCCAGCAGTCCGAACCGCGGATCCAGTGTGCGAGGCCTTCCACGTACCCCGAGAGATGCCGGTCAATATCCACGCCAAAGGAAGGGAGGTTGTCGCGACCCTCCAAGAACTGAGCGAGTAGCTCGTCATGATACCGCGCGATCCACTGGACGGCCCGGTCCATGTCGCCGTCAAGTTCGTGCATGACGGCCGTGACGAGGTTGTGGTTCTGGTGGCCCGCGGATTGCTCAATGTTATATGAGTAGAGATCCTACGACGAGGACAGTATGAGAATGCGCAGCGGGGTGCAAGAAGCTGGACGACGCACGTTCATGATGACGACCGACTCGGCGGCGATCTTCGTCAACTGTGCGACGGCAGGGTGGAAGACGACCTCGTCCGGAAAGTCAGCGGTGAGCTCGAACGGAAAGAAGCACGTATATGGCGCGCCGGTCCGACACCGCAGGGCGAGGTAAGCATCGATGGAGCGAACGTGATCGTTGTGCCGGTCGTGTGCCTCCTCGACGACAGCGGCCATGTACTCGCTGAACACGTGCAAGAAGCGCCGCTGCGCAGATGGGCAGGCGCGCTTCACAGCGTTCGCCCAGAATCTAAACGCGCACGCCGGGGTCAGCGCTGCACGCGCGTCGAGATGACGAGAATACTCACTGTCGCGCCACCTCTCCGACGACGCTCTCGCCAGCCGGGCGGGGCTTATGGGGATTGTGCATAGCGTCCATGACCATGTCGACGTAGATTTCGACGCCCGCACCGTCCACACGGTCCGTAAAGTCGTCTACGATGAACAACAGCACGACCAAGTCGCAGCCAATGCGCAGCGCCTCTGCCGCCGCGTGTCAGTACTGTACACGCCGCCAATCAACACACCGCAGCGCACCTTTGTCAAGCAGAGGGTAGGTGAGCGCGCCGAGCAGGGCTGCCGGCGGCAGAGTCAGCATGGTGCAAGGCAGACGCAGATGCCGACGGTTGGCTTACCAAAGTTGCCCATGTCGAAAGCCTGCTGAGCCTTGGGGCTGAACGCGTGGAAGGAGTGCACCCATGCGTCGCATTCTGCTTTGACTTCAGCGAAGTGGGGGTTTATCTGGCGCTGCCACGGCCAGTGTGCGAGAGGCTCAGGGAGGCGGAGCTGGGGTGTCAGGGACATGTGGATCGAGAAGGATACGAAGCCTGAACAGTGCTCCCTTTATATGGTCGCAAGCGATCGATGATAGCAGAGAAATGTCACCGGTCCAGGACTGATGTATCAAAATGACTGCTTCCTTACCAGTGAGGCTGTTGCCCGGGTGTAGACGACAGCCCGCAGATCAGAAAATGCGCTCCGAATGAAATATGGATCCGCAGGTTTCGGGAGGCCCACCGAGAACAAGAATCAGAGATCTGTGCATCGGGGCGAAGCAAGGGCCAAGTTTGTTGATAGTTGGTAACTAACTTACGATTCGTGCGGAGGCGTTTCAAGGTGTTTTGTAGGGATAAGCTCGTCTTCCCACGCCCGACTTCATTCTAAGGCACCTGTCGTTGAACACAGGGTCCTGACAGCAACTTGGAATGAAATTTACCAAAGGACAGGTCCCTTGACATTTGCGCATAGCTTCATGGTCGGTGTAGGAGGACGCCGGGTTCTCGAGTCATGACTGCCAGTGCTCTGTTCACGGAGGAACGACGGCAAGCTCCTTCCTCCAAGGCCACCAGAGATTCGGCTGTTACTCCGCCCCGACGTCATGTTTAGTGTGCCCGAGTTGTTTGCGACAAATTAGAATGCATGGCCATGCATGGTGTGATGCTAGCTTCAAACATTGAGGGTCAAGTTCCCGACCAGAATCGGGGATTGACTCTCGGATGTTCGGAACGAGTCCGCGGCTCTGACGAGCCCATGCATCAATATAGTCAGGGAAAAGATAATGAACTGGCCAAACTTACAAGACACAAACTTCATGCAATCTGTGGTCATCCGCGTGCGGCTCCGAGGTTTCCTCCCAGCTATGGCCCACCGGCTTCCCAGCTGCCCGCTCGAGACCCGGAGACGCAGGACATTGGGTCAAGACAGATAAGCAGCGACATATGCAACGAAAGGCGGGGCAATACTGTCTCGACTTCGCGGCCTAGGGTGGCCTACTTACGATCGCAGAGGATCTCTAGCCGATGGGCGCCGCCGTCTCGGTGTCATCAGCGATCTAGAGTACCTCCGAGGCCCATGTACACACAGAGGGACGTACGGCGTTCTGCGGTGTCTCGCTGAACATGGCTCTCAAAGCAGGCGATCTGCAGCGAGAGACTCGTGAAATCGAACATTTGACAACGGGCCTGAGTCAAAATCATCGAGGATATATGCTTAATCTCTTAGGGACAGGTTGATGGTGGCTTCTGAACCTGCAGAGCGAATGAGAGCGGTAGGCTTCTGCTTTGTGATAATGAAGCGTTTGAACGGTGTGTGATGCAGGCATCCCCGGTATTCGTACCACTCATTGTGGAGCTTCGATGCCTCTCGAAGGAGCTGGACACATGTCGCGCTGGAACTTACGATGATCTTCTCCTGTACACTCTCGGGATCAATTTTTGAGCATACACGGCTATCTCACAGCGAGTTATCAGGAAGACAACATACTTGAGCACCCCCGAGAACCCGTCGGTCGACTTGCTTGACCGGTATCCGTTCAGAACATAATATTCTGCTTATGTGGTACTTATGGTCTATATGGATCGTCCATCGTCGTATATATGCCATGCTAAAGTCCTGGGTAATGTGGTGAAGCTCAGTGCACTCTCACTCAAACAAGCAGCGGAAGAGTCAAAGCAAGCGCATACGGGCCTATTTGGACCCTAGCCCCAAGATGCCTGCCAATCCGCCCACTCCGAGATTCTTCAGTAAACCCTGGAACCTAGATGTCAGCGGATACACGAAGAAGCCATGCTCCGGACGCACCTCAATGTCTGATGCCGACACCGGGCATGCGAATTTAAGCGAATTGTTGATCGTCGGCGACACCGTGATGAGGAATACGCGCACGCCCACCTACATCCGGCCGAATATCAGCATCGCGGAAAAGCAATAAACACACGACCTACAGTGAGTTTATAGCTGACCGTGAGATCCTGCTGCGGACTCGCAAGACACTTTGAGGCGAGATCCGAGATGATCGCTTGCGTGGGATCTATTGACTGGGTGTAGTTGATCATGAATGGGAACGTGAAATTGGTATTGCTGTGGGAGGGAAGCTGCACATTCTTCACATCGCCGCTGCCGATTAGGGTGCTATTGATCGGGTAGATGATATCGGCGTGAACGTTGGTGAGCTTTGCCGAAAAGTAGTTAGGATTGTCGACCCTGGCAGTAGATGTAAGTACCTGTGAGGAGATGCGGCACAGGAACTAAGGGTCGACGTACTCGATGGGCAATGCTAGGTTGACTTGAAGGCCATCACTGGTGAGTTGAATCTGCGACGTTTCAGCCCAAGACAAAACAATACGAAGGCTGATGACCCACAGTACTGCCATTCGTTGTCTCCTGTACATCGCCGATGATAATGTTCGGGGGCTGAATCCACTGTAGGTACAAAAAAGGTGAGACAGACAGCCATATGAAAGGGCTTGTATGCGCACCAGAGCTAACGATAGCACGATGCTGATGAAGAGGAATAATGTGATGAGGATGGTACAGCAGAAGAACCGCCCGCAACATCTCGTACGGCTCCCCTGCGCGCGCATGCATCAGGAACGACGTCACTCGACCCGTACGGAGAAAGTGATACTCACCGCTGTCCAAAGATGTCCTTGGTGGTCATATCTCCAAGCCCTCATGTCCCTCGACGTTCTGTGTGCCATGTCACTCCAGCGCCCTCTCACACGACAACGAAACACACGCACTTCGCTGGCCTTGGTGTGACCGTATAATTCTCGATCTCATATGTAGGCTCCTCCTTCGGCCTGTTCACCGCAAATTGCTGCTCGCCTCCAAAGTTTTGTTGGGGTGGAAACTGCGGTTCGTCGCGGTATGCATCATATCCGCTCTGGTCGTAGGTCTCGTGGGGTTGATGGGCGCCATACGGATCGCTATATTCTGTGCCATCCTGATACTGGGTATGGTACGCGGGCTGCGACGGATACGGAGGGTTGGCTGGAGCTGCGTACGGGGGTCTATACGACATGGTGGTGGTTGTGAGAAGAAAGGAGCAGCCAGCTGCCTGCGGTGAAGGGGGAAAGGAGGCGGTGGTCCCAGCGTCATGGCCGCTGTGGCGGTGCACATCTGCCATGCACTTGCCAAGTCCAGTCTCAGACTCACAGCGGCCTCAGTCCTCCTCGACATTCTCCTCATCGGATACTCCAGTCTCGCGGCTTCCATATTCACGTTGATTTCC